CATTAGTTTAGTTGAAGAGAGTGAGCTGGGCGCCTTGTAGACAAGACAGCTGGAAATCATAGGACAGAGTACCAGAAAGGAGAAAGCTCCAGAAATATACAGGCGTCTTGAGTCTTCAGTTGAGAACTGATCAGCAGATATTTCAATAACCTCATATGCATGTGAAAGCTGGACATTGAATAATGAAGACCGTAGAAGAATTGATGCTTCTGAGTTACGGTGTTGGAGGAGAATATTGAAAGTGCCATGCAAAAGTACCAACAGATCTGTGTTGGAAGAAGTGCAGCCAGAATGTTCCTTGGAGGCCAGGATGGCCAAACTTCGTCTCTCATACATTGAACATATTGTCAGGAGGGACCAGTCGCTGGAGAAGGATATCATGTTTGTTAAGATGGAGGGTCAGAGAAAAAGAGGAAGACCCCAAACGAGATGGATTTGCCAAGTGGCAGCATCAATGGACTCAAGTGTGGCAACAGTAATGAGGTTGGCCCAAGATCAGGCAGTGTTTTGTTCTGCTGTGCATAAGGGTCACTATGAGTCAGTAACAACTCAATGGCACCTAACAACAACAACAAAACAGGTCAGGTCACCTAAGGGCAAGTCCCCTTCCAAAACTAAGACTCAATAAGAATACACGAGTAGACACATGCTCTGACTGGTGACCATGTTGGTCACTGATAAGGGGAAGTGAGGAAAAAACAACAATGAAGCCGCAAGCTAAGTCCAACCACATTCAATAGACTCCTGTGAACCCGGGTGAAGTCCTGGTTGGCCAGCAGTTTGGTGACCTGAGGACTTCTGGGTCCAGAGTCAGTGACATAGACACAGAGGACTAGAGTGGAGAATGAAGCATCCAGCTGATAAGAAGAGAGGGCATATGCACAAGAACATGCACACTTGCAGATAGTACCCACTTGACCTGGCTTCAATGGCTGGATAATCAGAGCTCAATTAGAAGAAGAAAGAAGAGGGAAAAAAGAGTAATCTGATACATTTTGATGAACTTGACCTACACCTATGGATACAGTAGCTCAAAAGAGGGAACAAATCTTTACAGCAAGGATCATTCCCACCCCCTCAATACATAGGGTAGACAGGGATGGGCAATTTGGACATTGGCTACCCAAAATTGTGGGGTTACAAAGGCAAGAAGTGACTTGCTTACAAGTTTTCAAGAGGGAGCCTAGATCCAGGGTTGGGGGGAGGATGGGGGTGGAGAGTAAAGGTAATACAGAACCAGCTACAATCATACATTGACAGAGAAATTCCAGACATTCAAGCTGGATTCAGAAGAGGACGTGGAATGACAGATATCACTGCTGATATCCAATGGATCTTGGCTGAAAGCAGAGAATATCAGAGATGTTTTCCTATGCTTTATTGACTACCCAAAGGCTTTTGATTGTGTGGATCATGACAAGCTATGGACAACATTATGAAGTATGAATATTCTGGAACACTTAATTGTACTCATGAGGAATCTGTACCTGGACCAAGAAGCTGTTGTTTGAACAGAACATGGGAACACTGAATGGTTTAAAATTAACAAAGGTGTGCGACAAGTTTGTATTCCTTCACCATACTTATTCAACCTGTATGCTGAGCAAATCATCCCAAAAACTGTGTTATATGAAGAAAAATGTGGCATCACAATTGGAGGAAGATACTAACAACCTATGATATGCAGATGATACAACATTGCTTGCTGAAAGTGAAGACGACTTAAAACATTTACTGATGATCAAAGAGCACAGCCTTCAGTATGGATTTCATCTCAATGTAAAGAAAACAAAAATCCTCACCACTGGACCAATAAACAACATTCTTATCAACGGAGAAAAGATTAAAGTTGCCAAGGACTTCATTCTTCTTTTTGCTAACCCTACTCAGCTACTAATTCAGAGTTCCTCATAGAGCAAATACTCAGTAAATTTATATTAAATAGGTGGCAACCTCTGCTGCCAAAATTATCAAACTATAATTGGTCAAAAGATTAAACACTAGTTTCTAAATCAATGTCTGAGGATACTTTCTAAAGTTCAGGTTATTCCTATCACCTTCTTTCTTTACACTTTCACAGTCATTGATATTCTCCAGGTTATGCACTCCATAGCTTGTGTGACAAACAACAAAAGCAAACAAGTGTCAACTTGTGATGGAGACTCAAATTCTTAACTCTATTAGAGATTGATGAGCCCTGGTGGCACAGTCAGTTAAACATTGGGCTGCTACCTTCATAGGAGAAAGATCAGGCTGTCTGCTCCCATAAAGGTTTACAGTTTTGGAAACCCTAAGGTGCAATTCTGCTCTCTTCTATACGGTTGTTAAGAGTTGAAATAAACTCAGACATTGGCTTTTGTAGAGGTTGGTCAGATGATGTGCTCATATTTGGCCATAAGGGGGAGCCAGCCACCTTGGTAAGCCAAAACAACCAGTGAGAATGAGTCACACTGTTTCCATAGCCCCTAAATATGAATGAATCCTAATGGACAGATTGAGGGGAGAAACAGAAAAGAAAAGAAAAAACTTTTTCAAAAGCAAATAAAAAAACCCAGAGTTCCAAGAAAGAGCTATACCTTCTAAGCTTTTCATTTGGAATAAGTGTTTGTATGGGTTCTCTAACTATTCGAGCCAAGAACATAGGATCACTGGTAAAATCACATATGAATTTGGAGGTCACAGGTGCTCATATACACTGTACTGTATCACTGAGATTTTCTATAGTGTCTAACATTATAACAGATTTCACATAAAAGAACACTAAATGGGATGGCAAATGTAACTAAAGAGAGAGTCAAAAACTCTAGCAGAAACAAAAATGTTGGTGCTATTAAGTGCTGTCGAGTCAATTCTGACTCATAGCAACCCTCAATATAGTTTCCAAGGAGCAGCTGGTGGGTTTGAACCACCGATCTTGTGGTTAACAATCCAGTGCTTATTTCACAGTACCACACCAGAACCCCAGAAAAGGAAATGAAGGAACTTTTTATAAACTCCACTTTTAAAAGCCTGCAGAGGCTCTCTTTCCTTCAGATACCGAATTGTGAAAGACTCTGTTGTCCCTTTGGATGACTTCACACAAACCTACACTGACTGCCCTGCTGCTGTTGTGTTAAGTGTCGTCAAGTTGATTCCAATTCATAGCAACCTTGTATAAAGTGTCCGAGGAGCAGATGGTGGATTGGAACCACTGACCCTTAGCCTATAGTACCCCACTCTCCTCATTTTCATAGTTTCCCATAATATAGAGTCTTTCAATGAATTACTCTCTCTCACTTAGGAGTACTGATGTGGCGCAATAAGAAAAGCACTGAACTGCTAAGTACAAAATTAGTTCAAACTCACTAGCTGATCCTTGGAAACTCTATACAAGGTCACTATGAGTCAGAATCAATTCAACAGCACTTAACAACAACAACTTAGAGTTTTTAGTGATCAAAACTCTCTTTACTGAGGTAATAATAAATAACCTAATCATCTGACCATAAAGGAAAATTTAAACTGAACAATCATTCAACTTAAATTTAAGAGAATATTTGTAACTATTCACTACCATAGTAATATATCCTTGTAGATTACCTGAGCCCTGGTGTAGGACTGTAGAATAAACACTGGACTAGGAACCACAAGATCAGCAGTCCAAATCCACCAGCCGCCCTTAGAAAACCTATACAAGTTTGCTATGAGTGAGACACGACTCCACTGCACACAATAACACCAACATAGATTTCCCACCACTGCCATTTATTCAATTCTGACTCATAGCAACCCTACATAGGGTTTCTGAAACTGTAAATCTTTACAGGATCAGACAGTCTCATCTTTCTCTGGTGAGTGGCTGGTGGGTTTGAACCTCCAACCTTGTAGTTAGCAACCCAATGCATAACACACATTGCCAACAAGACTCCTTAAAGACATGTATAGAATAAACCTAAGATAAGTGTTGATCTTTCCATTATTTCAGGAAAGAGAATACGGTCCAGATCATTCTCTGTTTGTTTACAAAGAGTACTAAGTTATAATTTTGATTGTTGTTTTAATGGAATATGAAAATTTATGAAAGACCATGCAACCTAAATCCCAAGCAAGGGCATAATTTCAATATAAACTAACAAAAGAAAAAATGAATGTAAATTCTCCAAACATTTTACCTAACTAACGAAATCACACTCAAAAATGCCACTGCCCTATGTGCTGGAATTTGTGTTACTGGGCACGTAATGGACCACAAGAAGAAACACCCAACATTTAACAGAAAATGAAACTTCCACTGCCCTGTGTTAAAGTCTCCATAACCATTCCTCTAAGAGTAGAAAGTTTTTCTCCATCTTGCATCCCAAAACCTACTCCAGTTAGCACTGTCTGCAAGACACTACCACAGGAAGCTCAAGAAAACATATGTGGAGCCGAGCAAGGTTACAGGAAAGATTCAACGTCCTCTCAGAGACAATTAACTAATATTACATAGATTCTTTCTCCTCCTTCACTCCCACCCCCTGGTCAGCACTGGTCTACTATTATCGTGGAGGCTTTTGTAGAAATGTAGTTACTTCTACCGTCTTAGTTCATTCCCCATTGTTTCCTGTGAGAGTGTCATTACCGTGATTTAGATTCATCTAGGTACCGAAGAAGACATACTCCCTAAAATAAGCATTTGATTGCTGATTGCAAAGTCTGATCCCATAAAGATTAATGGTCTCTGAAATCCTACGTAGGGTCACTATGAGTCAAAATCAACTAAATGGCAGAATCAACTCAACTTGCACAAAGTGTATTTCCTTGCAAGTTTGCTTTGATTCTGCCTTAGAAAGGGTACCTCTATAGAACTTACACAGATAACAAAAAGGCAGTTTAAAACTCTCAATATGAAACTTAAAAGAGAAAGAGAGAGAGAGAGAGAAATGAAGAAAAATATCAGCCTAGAATAATGCTTGAGAAATATTTGACGTGGAAATCATAAAATGAAGGAATGTTATATGTGTATTGCTGCACATACTTACACAATGACTCAACTTCTGCCTAAGACTGTGGAAGTCTTGCACAAAGTGTATTTCCTTGCAACTCTTTAATTGGAGGTGGCCAAAAACATCTTCCATGAAGAAGGACAGAATCTGTTCTTGAAATCTGCAATTTTTCTATAAGTAAGATTTAAGACATTGTGTGAGGTAAACTATTAATAGTTTTCATTTTAAAATGGCATGGACACATCCTCCTGATTATTACTTAATGATCATCTGGAAGAATAAAACTGTAGGCAAAAGAAACCAAACAAGTAGAAAAGTTAAAAGGAAAAACACTCTCTGACTTACCATGAAGAGCTTTTTTGTTTTCTTTTTTAATAGTCTTATATTTTTTATGTGATCTTCCTGCAACAAAACAAAGAGAAATAAGTCTTGTCCAGGATTATGAATATTCTAAGCAGTGTCTAATACTTACTGGAATGGTTGCTTTGAGCCATGCTGTCTTGATAAAGAGACTGTCCACAGCGTGGGTCAGAGTTCCCTTTGAGCAGCAACTTTTGGTGAAGGAAGTTTGCTTGTGCTTGGCAGTGGCAAGAGACAGGGTGACAAGCAGCAACCCAGACCTCAAAATGCAATTCACCCACATTTCCCTCAGCCCTACTCTGGGCTCCTGTCACCAGCAGCAGCCAGAGAGTTACTAACGTTGGTTAGATGAGAGGATAACCTATTTATTTTAGCCCTCAAAGTAACCTCTCCACGGATGCTATGACAAATGACTTACAGTTTATATACAAGAAGAACACTTTGGTTGCTCTGTTGTTTTTTTTTTAGAACTTGCTTTATAATCAAAAAAAGTTGACCACACCATCTGTGACATTAGGTAAGAGCTCAAGATTACTGGTAGGGTTGGACTACAGTTTCCAAAACAAAACTTCAGTTGCATACCATATTAGGGTTCATTATTTTAACAGTTATAGAATGCCATGCCAATAAGAGAGCCTGATCTCTAGGAGGCCATGTTTTTATTATTATTATTATTCCCCATATGAAAAATCTCCTTTAATTAGAATCTCAGAAAAATTCAACCAAGGAGTAGAGTGGGAAACGCTCTGTGACCTGCTCATAATACCTGATGGTTTTATAATTATCCCATGTCAAATCCTTCTTCTTGCTCTGCCTCTTTCCCTATCAAATGTTTACCAAGGAACTATACACACAAAAAAAATTGTCTAGGCATGGAGAGATAGAGCATCTAAGGACTCCAGACTCATGAAAAGAGAAAGGCTGTGTGATGGCAGTCAGGAGGCAGGCTTGCAGAATGTGCCCTTTGGTTAGTTGTTTAAATGATTATGTATTCCTGAATGTTTTTGTGTATATTCAAAAAAAAAAGAAAAAGCCAGAGGGAATAGAAGCAAATGCTGTTGAATGATGATGCATGGAGGGGACTGCAATCATTGTGATGAAATGAAATACGACAGAATGAGTGTAAAACCAATGTTCTCCCATATAAACTATCACTCAATTCACAACAAAAACTTTTTAATAAATAAAAAATTGTCTAGGGACTAGGGAGCCACCAAAGTGAATGCCTCATGGATTACCATCCTCAGTTCTTCCAAGGATGGCAATGAGTCCCATTTCTTCTAATGGCAACAAGTGTGGTTTATCAGCCCCAATGTAAGAGGTGGACAAAGAAGGCAATATTGATAATCACAGCATAGTGGTGGTGGTGTGCCGTGGCATTGGTTCTGACTCATACCGACTCTTCATAGAGTTTCTGAGGCT